CCTAAATGCGGACTCACTGGGGAGGCCCTCTTCTTATCCCCGACCCGTGAGTTGGCGGAGCAAAGTCAGAAGGCACCACCCGAACATGTGGGAGTTTCCGAAAATAGGGGTACCTTATTTTGGTGGTCCTTATAATAAGGATCCTACTATTTAGGGTACTATATTAGGGTCCCCTATTTTCGGAAACCCCCATGTCACAAACTCTGGGTTGGGATTTGGGGTTTGGGGGTCTATAGTGTCCAGTTTTTAGATCTTTCATGGTATGCCCTGGAGTTTTTGAGTCTTGCGATTTCAGGGTTGAGTCGTTGTCCGTAGCACAGGTATCTGAATCATCTGAATTGAGACTGCCCCCGAAATGGAAAGTGTCTTCATCCCAACCCTACGCTGGAAGTTCTACGCGGGCTAAGGTGTTTGGAACCTGCTCATGATGAAGAGTGTGGACAATCAAAGCTTCACTTGCACTCCGAGTTCTAAGGCCTAGTGCAAATAGCCAAGAAGTGTTTCCGAAGTTCTTTGTGGAGCATCATTGCATGCAGGGCGGTTTACCTACTGTCTTCCATGGTCTCGTTCTACGGGGTTCTGCCACGATCCAATGGTGGGTTTCTGTATGAGTTTACACTCACACAGTGATGCATTGGTTCATGTTTGCGTCGTTAAATGTGTTTTTATACATGTGTATTACTGTGTATGTATAGATGCACACATGTATATATATATATACATTTTACAGATACATATATGTATATACACACACACGTTTTTAGTTCATTCGTTTATGTTCAATTTGTCTGCTCTCGCTCCCTCTTCTCCTTCTCCCTCTCTCTCTCACTCTCGGTCTCTCTCTCTCTCTCTCTCTCCTCTCTCTTTCTCTCTCTCTCTCTCTCTCTCTCTCTCTCTCTCTCTCTCTCTCTCTCCGACCAGGATGTACCTGATTGCGTAGCATCGTTCGAGCTTGAGGCTGAGATTGGCGCAGTTGACTAGCTTTCGGTCCTGCAGGAAATATCCCGAGTTTCAGGCCTTAGGTTTCTGTTGAAGGTGCAGGTTCGAAAGGTTTGACTCAGTGAATTTGGCGAGAGAGTTTGGCTGTGCCCTCGTTTGCATTGTGTTCCGTCCGTCTACGAATATTTTGGAAATCCTTCATGGCCTCCTACATGTATGAGTATCTTCTGGAAATCCATTCAGCATTAGACACCAAACAACCTGAAAAGTCAGAGATCCACTTTCATTTGCTGTCCACACGGTGACCCCCAAGCCAGTCAAAGACTAAGTGTGTATTAGTCACCCAGCTTAGCTGCGAACCTCAAAACCCGGAAAGAAAGCCAATTAGAAACTTTTGCTACACCCTATGCACAGTTCCAAAACACCCAACCACTTGAATGTGCACATGAACACAGGTTTGCCTTGCCTTGGGCGACTACCTGAACGTGCAGGCCGGGCAGATGCCTGGACTTTCAAAAATCTGTGGCAGTTCGGATTCAGGCCTTCGAGTCTCTTACCTTTGGTTAGTAGGGAATGGAAGCATGGTAGTAACAGTAGTTATAATGGTAGTAATATGATAGTCATATAATAGTAATATGGTAGTAATATGGTAGTAATTGTAGTTCTAAAAGGACCCTATTCCTCCATTCCCTACTAACCAAAGGTAAGTTATAGGGGAGCTTGTGGTTTTGGCGTGCAGTGTTCTTGGGATTTGCCAGTCCTGAGGGGTTTATGAAGTCCTTGGGGCTTGACGCCTGAGTTGCATAGGGCCTGAACCTTAGATACTGGCCCGGATTCAGTAACAGTTGAACACTATGTTATAGAGATCTACAGGCCCTGAATCATGGCACTCTCTTGGACTGTTACTGGATGGGGGCATCAGCCATGTTAACCACTCAAAGCCCTCTCCGACCAGATCGATAGATTCTGTCAAAGCTGGCCAAATGGCCTGTAATTCGGGTTTGGGTTTCTTGTTCAGTCTAAGGGTAGTACCGGGTAGACGTATGGGCTCTAGGTTGTTGTGGCTGTGAACGTCAACCCAAACAGTCGCAGTCACCTTAATTAGTCAGTTAGTCATCAATAATAATGGGGGGGGCACTATGCGGGTAATTGGGCTCGTTAGGAATCTATGAAGTCGCTAGACCAGGCTTCTTGCTGGTCCGGTCCTAAGCTTCCAACCCCCAGGAGTTATATACGGCTGCCATAAGTAACAAGTTTGGATCATGATACCGGATGTTCATGGATCAGGGACGGTTTGCACAAGAATAATCCTGGCCCTACTACCCCCCCCGATAAAAGCGGGGCGTATAAAGTTTAAAGAGCACGTGGCCTGCTCCTACACCAAGTTCAGCTGTACCATGGCGTATGATCCTTAGAAATTCGCCCTTTGTTTTTACAAATTTAGTGCAAACCTTGGCTCTAATCATTTCTTGTCGTCGTGGTTCTAAAATTCAGTTTAGGGTCTAGGGACCCATAAACCCTACAGTAGAAGCCGTAAAGTTGGACACCCAATAGCCTCAATCCTTAACAGTAATGTATAGGGAATCCCAGCACCATTTGGCTTTAATCCGGTTTCCAACTTGATGGGGTTTACTGTAAACCTTACTAGACCTTTACAAGCATCTGCCCTAAACCCTAAATCCAGCTGCAAGGTGCACGTCTGCATCGGCGGAAAGCGGGTCTCAGATGACATCCACACCTTCGAAGCGGGCGTTCAGATCGTGCTTGCGCCTTGGGGTTTAGGGTTTGAGGTTTAGGGTTTGGGGTTTGGTTTAGGGTTTGGGGTTTAGGGTTTAGTATCTCAGACCTAGCGCGTTCAGCAACCCTCTCCAAGTCCTAAACCGTTACTGGACCCGACCCTTTGATCTAGTCACCCCAAACCTACTCCTACACCCCAAACCCTCCAAGTATTGATCATTCCCATGACCGATTGAGCCTTGGATTTCAGATAGGTCCACGAAAATATGGAAGGGGTTTTGGGTTGCGGGTTTAGGATCGGAGTCGGAACATCACACGTGCTCTTGGGACTAGAACCAGAATGCCTGTTTTGTTTGGGTCTCCGTGCTTCATTCTTGCAAGAAGGATCTTGGATGGACAGGTAGATGTAGCAGGTAGACATCACACCAGGTGCAGCTTCCGTTGTTGCAATGTTGCAGCTGCTACTGCTCTTGTTGCTTTTGTCGGCGATGGCATTGTCGGTGATGATGTTGGGGTTGAGGGTGGGGTCGGTGGCGATGGAATTGGCATCATTGCTGTAAGTCGTGTTGACCTTCCGATTGTGATGGCGATGATGGTGCTGACAATCATTGTGCTCGGGTCCGACCTTTTGGTGGTTCCTCATATTTTCAGTATAATGGGCTATTCTAGTTATTAAGGCCCCTATGGTATTTCCTCGTCCTACACCTAGGTCCGGGACTCCTGGGCGAGTGTTCCACATGATCCAGCAGCGACACTTCAGCACGCGGCATGCCGTGAGCACAGCTGGCCCTTGGTTGTCTTGGGTGTCCAATGCCGAGAAGCTTGGGTGCGGTGCAGGGTCAGCAGAGGTTTTGCGCTGTTTGAGTTAACAGCCCGGTTCGAAGATCTCATCAAGGGTTGGAATCACAGTATCTGGAACATACTGCTGGCACACTGCGCTTGGTAGAATCTGCCCAATTTATCAAAGCACAACTGCAAACATAGTCACCTCCTCCCTCCACCGCCCCGTCATATTGCTTTGCTCTGGTCTCTGGTAGGTTCGGAGATGTTTGGCTTGCATTTGACACTGACAGCATGTTTTTGTTTTTCGTGGGAAGGGGCGGGTGCACAGGAATCTTGCTCTTGCAGGGCTTGGGGTTTGGGTCTTTTGGGACTGCAGAGTTTGAACATTGATGGTGTGCAAGAGACTGTCGCAGGATCACATATCGGGGGGGAGGGGGGGATCGTGGCTAGCTAATACGGCTAAGAAAGATTGATCTTGAATATCCAGCAGTGTTCTTCGAAGTTCGAGGGGGGGGGGGGTCATGCGCTGAACTCCCCTTCACTCTCATGCCTAGTTTTCCATCTTAGATTGGGCGACTACTTCGGGGCCGCCCAAAGGGCAGTATGCTAGACGGTTGTCTTCAACTTCAACCTCTAGCTTGTCACAAGTGATCAATTAGTGGATTTTTGTATATTACATTACATTACTCTACATCGCACTACAGTACAGTACATTAAACTACATTACATACATACATCCATACGTTCATACATACACACATACAAGCAGTTTGTGTGTATATATAACATACATCTATGTATTACTCATCGTGTATATGTGCATGTTTTTGTGTGCATATACTGGTACATGCAATGTTTTCCATATTCACATCTACATACATACCGAGTATGTACATTCGAATACGGTCCCCGGGTCTAGGAAGACGAGCTTGTTCGGTCTCAGATTTAAAGGTTCGATGCTTGGACTTTGGGTTAGATGCCATGTTCGCAGGTTCGCAGTCGGTGCTACTCACCTTGCAGCTGTGCTGGGGTAAGGCGAGGTCTAAGGTAGGAACAGGAAGGAACCTGATTCAGAAACCCTGGGCCTATAACCCCCAAAATAGTAGGTAGGATTCATATGGGAACCCAAATCCATGCCCAAGGTTTCTTAATCAGATTCCTACATTAATCGGGAAGGACTTATGGGGTTCGACCATGGTCAGTCCTTTTGGAAAAAGTCTCCGTGACAGCAAAGCAGCAAAGGCACCAAAGCAAGTCAAGTAATGTAGGGGCCTTAATAATTAGAATAGGGTTTGTTGGGGCCCTCTATACTATAAGTATAATAAGTATAATAAGGAACCCCAAAAATACTACAGGTAGTTAGGCGCCTATAGTAGATGTACCAGAGGCCTCTCCGGCTTAGGCACGATGTCAGCCAAGCCAGCATCCCGCCAAATCATGCTTTACAGGCGTTGACATTGCCTCCCAGACCTCCCCCTGTGACCGCCCCTCCCAACCCTAAACCCTAAACCCTAACACTTTCCGGCAAACCTTCTGCCATGATGCGGCTCTTTGCGCGCATCGGCGGCCGCAAGCAGCCCGTTCGGCTTGCCTTGGTGGGGCTCTGCGGCCCCTGGGGCTATGTCGGGGCTTTGTCTATAGGGTTTGAGAGGGCCTTACTTGCACCGACGTATAATAAGGAACCCGAAGGAATAGTATTTCCATGTCTTTAGGCCTCTGCATTGAACCTCTGCACTCACTCCCCATCCTTAAACCCCTTAAGCCTCCAAGGAAGTTTTGGAACACCCTGCCTTTAATTTACTCGCAGGGGTTAACCTGTACAGCATTTCTTCCTCGAGGATTCGTGCCTCAAGACCTGGGCTGCAGGGCTAGTTTTCGTTTGTGGAATTGATGCTGCTTAACCCTGACCCTCTAGTCCTGCACCGTAGACGGTTTCGAGTTGGAGCCAGTTTCGGGCTGTCGGGTTTTGCATGTGCTACATGACAGTCGTGTGACCCGACAATTTTCGGCGGGAATCCACGTAAGATCTGAGTTTGCATGTGCTACATGACAGTCGTGTGACCCGACAATTTTCGGCGGGAATCCACGTAAGATCTGAGTTTCGGATGCTTTCTAGGGTCATAGGGGCTTCACCACTTCATCCGAGGCTTGCATTGTTGGCTTGTGTCTCTGAACCGTAAAGACTCCAGCTCCTTTCATGGGGCAGACTCGGCCCCATGCATCGTAGAGGCTGAGGGCGCTGAAATTTAATCCAGTTTAGCAGCCAGAGCCTGCTAAATCATTTCCTCGTTTGGCGAGCCAAGTTTATGGGCATGCTCTCGTACAAGCAGACAGGGTAACCAAATAGCACGACATCAAGACTTCAAGAGCCCACTCACGTGGGCCATGAACATTCATACATTTAGACATGTTGAGGCTTGAGTGAGTGTTATGGCACAGAACACAACAGAGGGCCAACCCGAACCCGGAACCACAATCCCTCAAACCCAAGATTGCCAGTAGACGTGTCCGCCTTTTATGTATATATATATATATATATATATGTCACATGTCTGTACATATATATATATATATATATACATATATACGCACACATGACGGAACATGTGTATGTATGTATATGCGATGTATATGTATACTTATATGTATATGCATATGCATATGCATATGTATCTGCGCATAAAAGTATGTACGTGTATATACACACATATATATATATATGTATGTATGGATGGATGTATGTATGTATGTATGTATGCATGTATGTATGTACGTATGTATGTATGTGTGTGTGTGTGAGTGTGTGTGTGTATGTGTGTGTGTGTGTGTTTGTTTATTTTTCTTTATAGGTATACTCCCAAAGGCCCAGTCTCAACGATGGCCCCTGCAGCAGCAAGGTGGCATCTCACACGCCTTCTTCTCTGCAGCTGCTGCGGAAGCACCTTGATGGGGGCGAGATCGGGCTTTAGGTTTGACGGTTTTTTCCAGTTCTGGGCCTTTGGGCTTGAAGCTCAGGGCCTAGTTTCAAACCTGCGGCGGGTGTGATGAGGAGGTCGTTCGTCATCCTAAAGGAGGGCTTGCAGCTATTTTTTCGTAAAGACCTTGCACAGCCTGAAAAGACCTTGCGGTAGCCTGCAGCTACGTACTTCTAACACACTATACCCGAAGAACTGCTCCCGCCACCTCCAAACCCCTAAACCCCCAAATCCTCTGAACCCTTCTACCTCTAAGCCATGAACCCACCACCCCCCCACCATGTCCTCATAGCCCGCAGCCCATCGAAGCACAGGCACCCCTGCCGGTGGTCGAGCTTTCAGCGCTACATCGACGTTTCGGTGGGCTGGGGTGGGTGCGCTGTTGGGGTTGGGGCTTGGTGTGGGCCTTAGGGTCTCGGCCTCACTTCTGAGCAGGCTTTGGAAAATTTCGGAACTTAAAGTACCTGTGGCCAAATAGTTTGCTATGCTATATTCAGTGTATCCTTTTATACTGTTATGTACGATTATGCCATACGGAATTATGATGACTTATATAGGGCAAGATAGGCCGCGCTTGTGGCTCAGCACTTGGTGACGGGTTCAGTCAGTGCGCATAGCCTCGATGCTTTTCTCCGAAATTCTCCTCTTGTAGCCTTACCTCGGACCTTTGCTCTGTCGACACAGATTGCCAATCAATGGTGTTCCACTTCTTTGCATGAAGCCAGGTCAAGAACATAGGCGGACGGTGCATGCACTTGCATATGAGCATGTATTTCCACATTTATTCATTATATGTGCATACACATCGAACAATATTCGTGGTACTTCTTTTCTGAATCACACAGTCTGTATTTAAACATGTATTTGTGCGTATACCAGTGCTGGTATGTCCCACTGCATGTCTGCATGTTTATTCGTGCATGTACGCGTGTTATGCATCTGTACATCGGCTTCATGCAGGGTGCATATACTAGGCGCAGCAACCTCCGCTCCATCAAGTCAGGCACCCAACAAGATGTCCATAGCTGCAGAACTTTGTGTTGATCTGTTGCTCATGGTTGCAAGGTTTGGTGTTGAGGGTTCTGGGGGTTCACACTCTTTGCATTCGAGGCGTGCGGCGATATGCTTTAGGCCTCAAAGGTTGAGGCCTTAGGATGTTCGGATTTGGGTATTCTATAGTTTTGTTTTTATACTACGAATGCTATAAATTATACATTATTATACTCTTCTATACTCCATGATACGTCGCTTTACAAATATTCGAAGCTGTTGGCTTTGAGAGGAAGCGCCACGGTAAGGCAGCAAGCTCTCTGGCCTCCTCCCGGGCCAGCTCACGTGCCTTCTGCTATGTGGGAGTTTCCGAAATTTAGCGTTACCTGATATTGAGGTCCTTGTAATAGGGATCCTACTATTTATAGGGTGCCATACTAGGGTCCCTTATTTTCGGAAGCTCCTATGCGCCGGAACAGTGACGTCGCATGGATGCGACGGGTTGAGTCATCCTAAGTGCCGTCTATACTCGCGGCATGTTCCAAGTACTCGGGGTCTCTGGGCAGCAAGTGGCATGCGCCAGCATGCAAGACTTGTCCGAGCCCGTTGTAAAATCACTGAAGCAATATCTGGCAAGCATCTGTGGGGCAAGCCGCTTTAGACAACGAGTGCTCCGCCATGGCAGAATCTTGGAGGATGACGAGAGATTGACAGAGCATGATTCTGCTGAGGTCGTTGAGCTGCAACACGTCGTACTGCCCTTCTGCCGGACGTATCTTGACGATGTGCGTAAGCTGATGGATGCCATTAAACGCCGGGATGTTCTCAAGGTTGAGCAGATATTGCAACGACCTCAGGATCCAAATCAGAATGAGCCAGACGAAGGTACCCTCGAGGATGAGGATTTTGAAGATTGCTATGAAGAGCATGCCTTCGAGCTTCCCACCTTTCTTGGCGCAGCTTGCCGCACAGGCGACAGTGACATTGTCCGCTTGCTGATCGAGGCGCATGCAAACGTGGATCGAAGCTTTGGAAACGAAGATGCTCCACAGACACCTCTTGGAATTGCATGCACCCTTGGGCACACTGAGATAGTTTGCCTCTTACTGGAAGCAGGCGCTTACACCGCCTTGCGGATAGACGGACAAAGCCTGCTCGTTGTTTCAGCTGAGCACGGGCACTGCCAGGTTGTGAGCCTCTTGGTGAAAGCCGGCGTGCTTCCCCGAGAGCTTCTGGAAAGGATGGCTTTAGTCAGACATTGCCCGGAGCTAGAGCAGTTGCTGCCCACTCCGACTTACCCTACAGCTGAACTACTACACTGTTGTCTAGAAGCCCTGCGATGATTATGTAGACGAATATCCCCCCTCGCACAAAAAAAAATTATCATGATTGAGCCCCCTTGTGTAAAGTAAAAGCCAGAAAGTTGGAATATGATTATCCTATACCCTTTATGGTAAATTATAGGGTATCCTACCCTGAAACCATATTCCAACTTTCTGGAGTTCCCATTTATGCTGCTGTCAGGGCGAGATTGTAGCCAGGTCGCTTCTCACAGAGCAGAAACCGAAATCGTCGTTGGCTACTTCGTTTTTTTTTTGAAGTTCCGAGTTCCGGCTTAAGATGCACCTTGAGCGCAGTCGTGATATTGGAACTACAATGCTGATGGTTACCTTGATTTCAGATTCCGGTGTTGAATTTGATTTCCCACTGGTGTCAAGCAGACTTGATCACGCAATTTGATACGGTTGATGATATACATCCTGCATTAACCATAGTAAGGAATATACCTTAATTCCCATAGTTTAGGGACCTTCAAGTAATGCAGGATTTATATCAGCCACCGTATCTCATGAAAGGGCTGTGAGTCTGGAGCTCAAGAAGTTCCTCCACGTACTGCAGCTGGGTGCCCTCTTTGCCGGCTTTGATATACTGGGCTTTGGAGTACCATACTTTAATTCTTAAGGGAACCATTATGAAAGTATAAGTTTATATTTTTTTCTCCCTGGTTACTTCAAGGCCCAGTATATCGTGGCCGTAGGCAGATCCCTGACCGAAGTTCGGTAAAGGATTGGAGTTTAGTGTACGGACCTGGGCGCTCGGATTTCGGGTTTAGGGTTTAGGGTTTAGGGCTATAGGTTACCATCGTGTAGTTCTGTAGGAATTGCAAGCACCTTGTTTGTTAATGGTGCATCCATGATAGAGCGTTCTCGGTTTATTTTCTCCTGCAGTAGCTCTATGACAGACGTACATACTACAATCGTACATTCATCGCTAAACCCCAACAGCTATGCACCGCCCCACCCCTATCACTGAAACCTGCAGCCCTGAACCATCCCGCGCCCCTTAAGTCTATATAGTGGATACTCTAAGGAGACTCGTCTAAAGCATGGAACCTTGTTCGGCTTAAACTTTTCTATTTTTTGTAGATGTCTCAAGCTCATCATTTCCGGCAGTTATCTAACTACATTCTGAACCCAAACACCCAGTCCTGGAATCAATCCATCGAAAATAGTTAGATAGATTATAGATGCACATATACAGAAACATATATATATATATATAGATATACACGTACACACATATCATATCATACATACATACATACTTACGTACATACATACATACATATATACATAGATACACGTAGATACTCGGGGCCCTGCTGCTTCCGGGCCCCACCACAGCTTTGCGGTCAGGTGGTGACTCTTCTGCCACATGGCTGCAGAGTAGCTGCATGGAGTTTGGGTTCAGGGTCTACGGAGTGGGGTCCGGAACTCGGGTGGAGGTTTAGAGTCCACCGTGATTTCGCTGTGTTTCCGGGCGCTCGGCTTGAGACTTGTGCTGCTTGCCGTGTCGGGTGATAAGATCAGCAACAGCCTTGTGACGGTTTCCGATAAATAGGGTACCTTATTATGTGCTCTCTATAATTCATAAAAATCCCCCTATTTAGGGTGCAATATGAGGGACCCCTATTTTCGGAAACTCCCTTGTGTCCGCAGCCACGTAACCCAAGCCAGGCTCACCGGCGTCCCACACGTAGCCATAGCTTCCAAGAAACCATGGCAGATCCTTCTATGAATGTCTTCTTCACTGCTCCAGGTCCCTTTCGCGCCCGGGTCATTGAGCACATGATTTTGCATATTTGTATCACTCCTTGCTGCATGGGTTTAGAGTTTAGGGTTAGGGGCTTTGGGTGTGCTCTATAGGGTTTGTAACTTGAAAGCTGGAACAGTGACCTTGAACCCGAGACCCCGCAAACAAGCATGCTGCTGAGGTCATGCACAGGGATGGATCGCACCTGTGGCAGCCCCATTATTTCCGGAGCACACCCCAAGCCAACACACAGGCACATTTCCCTGCCATTGGCCTCGCAACATCCTTCCACCGCCAGGCCTAGAGATTCCAGAAGTGCCTGAGCTCACCACTGCCAACCCACGATTCGGCATGGGCAGTTTCGGGCACCCGCACTTTTGCTCCAGACCGTGTGTGCACGTCTCCAAGGGTGGAGTGTGCCCGGCCGGAACGACATGTGCTTACTGCCATTTCACGCACCGGGCGATTTCGAAGCCAGATTGGCAGCTACGGCAGCGTCTGATTAACGCAAACGACCAGGAGCTTCTCGCGACCTTCATGCCCTTCATCTTCAAGAAGGCAGCGACGGAAGGACTCATTCCGCGCGTCGACCACTTGCTCCAGCTCCTCAATTCAGAAATGCACGAAACCCAATCCAGGCCGATTGCACTGGGTAGGTTTCGGCCGATGAGGATGTCTTTCATGCACCTCTGCTACATCCATGAGGCTCAGGGCTTGCGTTTAAAGTCGTTCAAGGCTTCAGCATGAAAGCTTTCTAGCACCACTCTAGTAGACAGCGGAAATAGTATCAACATGCATCAGGAAAGGTGAGGGTCCCGCGATTCCTCGCACTACTTCCCGTCAAAGCTCGAATCCGTAGTCATCGCAGAGGAAATATGACCACATAAATCACCCTGCCCGAAACCCTAAGCCTTCTAAGATGCAAGACGCTTTAAGACTGTAAGAGCAGTGGCAGAACATTGCACCCAGTCTGCGAGCTGCTGTGGAAGACCCCCGAAGCCGAGGCATCTCGTTGAGAGCAGCATGCACCGGCTACCTCCACGTATCCGAGCCGAAGTAAATCGTATCAAGTCGGAGCTTCCTCCTCCCGCTATCACGCTTCCTGGCTGCATTATTCAGGATTTTTCTGATTGCCGATTTCACAGCAATCTCACAAGCCGGATTCTTCTGTCTCTCGACTCTCGTCTGTATGCTTGGCATGATGTTTGCGTCTCTGTCTCGTCTCCATGTCCAGTCTACAGTGTCTCTTCTTCCCTCTTGTCAACTTGTCGCTGTTCCTTAAAGGATCGAGCAGTTTTCTCGCCACTGCTGAAGCTACAGACCATCGAATCGTTTTGTGCGAAGCATGCTCTGCAAAGGCGTGGCGGAACGGGACCATCTCTCATGCTGTAGACGAACTGAGCTGGTGCAGCATCGGGATATGAGGGTTGTGTAGTACATCGTACATCAACAGTCTTTCCGTGCTTCCGGCTTTCTGTGGCCTTCAGGTCGTCTCTAGGTGATTCGGGATTGCTTTTGTGTGAGGCTTCGTGCCTTCCTACAAGCCCACACCCTCCAGAATCATTTCTGAAGCCGTTACGGATGCTTCGTAGCTTGATGATGTTCGAATGGAGGCTCCGCAATACTTCCGTTGTCATCCAATGTTGTCGAGTCTGGTGATGTCGCTTGGCAACCCGATCGCGAGGGCAGCTGAACATGCAGAGTTTCGTTCAAAGAGTGAGGGAAGAGGATGCGGATGCTGGTCGCATGCACAACCTAAGTCGCAGCAAAGAGATGCAAAGAGCTTGGGTCCATGTCCAATTCTAGGCGATCGTAGCAAGATCTAGAATCTAGGCAGCGTCGCCACGCCCTAAACCCTAAACCCTACAAAACCTTGCAAACCCTAAACCCTAGACCCTGAACCCTAAGCCCTAAACCCTAGACCCTGAACCCTAAACCCTAAATCCTACACCCAACAAACCCTAAACCCTGAACCCTAAATGAAACAATATAGCACTGAGCGGTCTTGCGGATGCCGGAAGTGTCGGGAGTGGTTGTCTCTGTCTCACAGCTCGCCTCTGTGTGCTCACCGCTTCGCTGTGGTACCAGTCATAGAGTCACCAGTCGTCTGAAGAAGTGTTATCGTCCGGTAATCTATAGTTCCAGTCGTCTGAAGAAGTACTATCGTCCTATAATCTATAGTTATAGTTTCTGAAGCAAGAGTTCACGGTGAAATCCGAGCCTCACAGAGCGGTGCCCTGCGTTTTTTTCGTCTTGATGGCTGACTAGCCTCGTGGTGGTTTAAAACAGAAAGGATGTATTACTTAGCATTGAGGGTCCAGGATCTATAAGCTTTTGATGTAGGAGCTGAGTTTAAACCCTAAACCCTAAACCCTATGTAAACTGTATAAGCCCTCACCTGGTTTGCACCCGAGACGCAGGCAGCTTCATACCCGGTCTTCCGGGGCTCTGTCTGAAGCAATCTAATATAGGGGCCTAAATAATCAATAATTACCAATACTATTTGTTATTTTTTTGGGGGGGGGGCTCCTTATTATAATTATAGTATTATGGGCCCCAAGACCTTGCTTGTAATAAGTTATGAAGGCCCCTATATTAACCATGGCCGAACTGTTGAATTCCCTACCTCCTGGATTCCAAGTCCAGGTGATCTACAGGCACGCGCTGCAGGGCTTCAGGACTAGCTACTTACAGGGGTACATATATTTACATATACGTACATACACATGCATGTACATACACAAATAGATAGACAAGTATAAATGTAAACACGTATGTATACATAAATAGAGAGGTATTTATCCCTAAGCGCTATAGATTGCAAAATGCAGAGATCATCGGCCATGGGAAGCTTTCCGGTCTGTGTGCTATGCCAATCACCGTGTTTATCGCCTGGAGCACGCGCAGCCAGAGCTGTGTTCGCAACACGATCTTCACCCTAGAAGGTGGCCCCACCCTGTAATAGTGACGATAAGAATTAGATTAGGTACCACTATAACAGGGTGGGGGCCCCTTCGAATGTTCACCCATGTTCTTAAAAGCAATCCGAGACGTAGAGCGATGTCCCCCTTCCTGGTCGTACGGTTGATGATATAAATCCTGCATTACCCATAATATGGAATATGCCATAATTCCCATAGTTCCGGGTCCTCAAGGTAATGCACATGATCAGCCGTAGTGTTGTCGAGCCAGCTTCCTTTACGAGCTAGCTCTCCTATCTCTTTCTCTATCTCTCTCTCGCTAGAAATCTGCTGTGGTCATGAAGCAAACTCAGCTGCTGCGCTGTTCATCTGGCATGTTTCAAGATGCTTTTTTCACGAATATCTGCGGAGGATAGAGTGGAAAGAGTGCTGACAGGAGATCGCCTAATGGGGCAACATGTCCAGACTCAGGACTTCCATGCAGAGGATTGTGCTGCCGATACCAGCTAACGGTGTTTATCTAGCTCAGGCTTCCTTCTGGAAGGTTGGCCATGTTGCCCAATTATGTATATAGATCAGAACTGCAGGGTGGTGTTGCGATGCCGCCGATGCCTGTCTGCTAAGATCAGGCTCATGCGAGCTGCGAGCCCGCCCGAAATTTTCAAGAATCATCTTTTCCAACACCCTCCTTGTACCCCTCCAATGTCTCCGACACAGCTATATGGTCCTTATTAAGGTTCTCAAGATTCCATTGGGGGGTAGGAAGAGGGTTGAGATCGCTAACTTGACGATCCTTTTTTGTTACTGCAGGCATTTTCACTCACAAGAGAAATGTAGTAAGCTGCCGTGCAATGTGCTCCACTCCTGCAGCAGACTGGGAGTATAAGGGAGTATATAAGATCCTGAACAAGCATTTTTTGTTTTGGGATGCCTTGCCGCATTTGTACGATAATGTATCCCCCCCCTAAAAGCCTGTTTTAATCATTAAGGCCAGGGCATCAGGGTTCCACCAAGGTCTCAGGCGAGGAGATTTGGTTCTTTTGCCACTATTCCCACCTGGGGCAGCAAAGTTCTGGTTCTTCATGAGAGGCGAACGTCTGACGGCGAGGCGAACGTGTGAGGGTCGAGGCTTTAGGGATAAGTATATGTCATAGTTGATGTAGATGTAAACATGTTTTGTAATATTGTACCATATCAAATTTCACAGACCCTTGGGGGTTAAAGCTCTGAAATTCGTTCCGTGCATTGGCATTTCTGTTGAGGGCTCCGGACTACAAGTATGTCTCGGGCCTTTAGGGAGGAATGGCGAGTTAGGGATCTGGAAGCCGAGGCCCCAAACCCTGAAGCCTCAACCTAAACCCTGAAGCCTCAACAGCCCTAAACTGTGCCCTAAACCCTGAAACCTAAGGTGTGGGATAATCAGCCGATGCTGCAGAGCGCCCCTTCCGGTGGCACGATTTCCGCCTTGAAGCTCGACTGATGACCTTAGGGTTTAGGGTGTGTATACTGTGCGTGCGGTGTGTGCGCTTCTTTGGCGTCAGCATGTAGTCCCACCCCAACCACCCCAACGGTTCTCAACTAGGAGTTAGGGTTCACCCCCAAACCATCTCAAGGGGGCTTGCTCGCTTTCAACCACAGGGTTTCCAACAAACAACCCCGGCCTCCTCGCACCCGTGAGGGTTGCTCGACGTCTGAAACACCAGGGTAGGCACGAAACCAAAAACACAGAAGAGCTTTACGGTTTCGACACATCACGACGGCGGTTTATTATTCCGATATCTTAAGTAATGTGTGGCTGTCTTCAGTGCCGTGGGCGTCTACAAGGCTTTTTTTGGCCTAATCTTGCCGCCGTACAAATTTTTGGCGACCACAATGCGTTGTTTTTTGAGAGGGTGTTTTTTCTTGTGATTTGCCTCGGCCCCTTCTGCTTCTGGTGAATCTTAACTGAGTACAGGATCACAGGAACCCAAACCTACCCCCCCGTTGTACTAGTATTGTGCGACTCTGTACTACTGTCCTGCTGTCCTACTGTGCGACTGTACTACTGTACTACTGCTGTACCATTTCTGTGCTACTACAGAGATTATTACTTTACCGGGCCTCAGACTTGGTCGATTGTGGAGGGGAGTGTAGGTTGAAACAAGATAATCCCTACAAATTTGGGGACGCTCCAAGTCTCGCTTAACAGCTCCAGGTACCTCCAAACCCTTTTGTTGTACTGTATTACTGTACTACCAGTGATGTACTACTACTACTGTCTTACTGCTCCACTACTACTGCATTACTACTGTGCTACTAATGTACTACCACTGCACTACTACTGTACCACTACTGCGGTACTGTTACTGCTGTACTACTATTGTACTACTGCTCGCCAACTGCACATCCTTCTAAACAGCTTATCTTCCAGCTGCCGCCGAAGAGGTGTGCTCTTTGCATCTACAGTGCCTGGCTCGTGCATGACGAGCACTTTAGAATTTGGGAGTGTCGAAACGGGCTAAACCGACACCACGATACACCAGAGCAGACAACATCACCCTCCAAACCCTATGACCCATCCCGAACCCAAGGGTCCAAGTACCGAATTATCATATACTCTCGCAAATTCGCACGTAACTACGATCCTACACGTATCTAAATCTATGGGTCCTTTGGACCCTTAGGGTAAGAGCCAAACTCCAAGACGGCTTACAACTTAGACTTAAACCCAAAGGCCGATCCATTATACTTTTTACCCAAGCCCCAAAAGCCTTGTCAAACCTTATACGAAATCCGAAACCCTAATTCACCCTCAACTTGAAAAAGTCCTTATAATTCAGAACGCCCCGACACCGGACCATAGGAGCGTTCAGATTCCTGCTCTTGAGAAGCTCCTGCCATATTTGAGGCCTTGGCGCTCGGATGGGGGGGGGCAGTGAGGGGTGTTTTTCGTAAAGCTTCCCCAAAAGGCTATTATATAAGAAAGATTTATATCGGGTTTTCGGGTGGGGGGTTTTCGGCATCCATCTGCTTCAACATCGCTCTGAACTTGGGCGGTAGGACTCATGGTTGGGGTTGCAATTAGCTATTAACCCACAGTCATCATACTACCTTCAGCAGATAACCCTACCTAGAGGCTCCATAGTAGTTCCTTTTTGGGGTTCGTATTTAGAATCCTATAAGGTAATCCCAAAAAGGAACTACTTTGGAGCCTTTGGGTAAAGCCCCAAAAGGATGCTGTTCTCGGTGCATGCTTGGGAATGTATAGCAGGCCGGGAACTTCTATGTCACACTTCGCCAGAGTTTGTGTGGTTGGGTTTCTAGGGGAACCCTATACCCCAAAGGGTCCTAGGTACTGTTATGGGGAATACTTCCCCAAATCATAATAGCAATTCCTAACATAGAAACCCTACACTGTACTATATGGCTACTTTGGACCCTTTGGGTACCAAAGCTAGACCACGACCCCTTCCTCAACCCCTAAAACGTAAAGCTTAGACCCACGGCATAAACGCCCCATACACGCCAAACCCTAAATCCGTGGTTGAAAGAAAAGCGCTGCAGTTTCGTCGGGCTGGGGTCAGCTCAGGTTCCACAGGATCTGATAATTCGATATTCGGGGGGGTAAGATGGTTCGCAATTTTTTTCAGGCCTGGTTTAAGGCTTACCCTGAAGCTCTTTAACTTTAACCATGATCCTGATCCATCCGTAGCCCTAACCCAGAATCTTGGTCCGTCCCCCCTGACTTCAGCCCCACATGCACCCTACGACATTGCTGTATGGGGGGGGTGCTCCAGAAGGTAACAAATCTCCGCCGATGAACCTCGAACCTGAAGCCTTCCTCCCCCAAGAACCCTAAACCCGAAACCCTAAATCTTAAAGCCGAAACTCGAAACCCTAAACCCTAAATCTTCATTGAAGCCTAAACCCCAAACCTTAAACCCCTTAAAGCCTAAATCCAAACGGAACAGAAAGAGGCTACCCGGCTGCGGGATCTTCGATCTGGGATTCGGAAGCGGCAGCTCAGCTACTCTAACCCGGGCGCCATCATTGAAGGAGATGCCTAGATCCCCAAAGTAGCTAAAAATAATGGCTCGAAGCCTATCAAAGGGCTATTATTCTACACACTTTTGGGGTCCAGGCGCTTGCCATAAGGGTAGTTCTCCAAACTAGGGTCTCCTTCTAAGAGTCATACTGCACAAGAAGCGGCACCCTTTTCGAAAGGAGCTTAGAAGAAGGACCCTAATTTAGAGAACTATCAATCCACAAACTCAGAGGTGGCCTTGTCTTGGTGGGTTTGGGGCTTTGGGGTCAGAGTTTAGAGTTTAGGGAGAGTCTAGTCACGTAGAGTTTATAAGGCCTCGTGCATGTTTCCCGAGGCAACATGATATCACTGTATTGCCTGCCAGGTGTCATGACAGCCATGATGCTTGCAGTCGCAGATGACTCCGCGACTGCAGTTGGCGTGGACTTGGCGGATAAAGCGATGCGCTGAGTGCAACCTTTGTGTTTGTGGCTTGTGGTGGGCTTTCTCTGGAGCCGACTCATACGAACGACCATGATATAAAGAGGGCCGGGCAGCTGAATTGTCATATCCGGACTCACTTTGACATGGTAGGACAGTCATGCAAGGTGCTGTTTCTCGCTGGATGTTCCCTAATCCGTAAACGGTTTAGGCCTTAGATTCCAACCTAAAAATCCATGGATGCATAGGAATTGGGCATTGTACAGCGGACACCCGACACCCGCTGCAGACTGAAAGCAGCCAAAGAGTACCCACAGAGGAGCTGTAATCGAATGCCTGTCCTAGCTTTGCACCGAGGTCCCTGTGGCAACGGGGTGCTTTGCCTGACAACTGGGCATGCCTTAATTACTGTGGACCCAAGAGCGTGGTACCTTTGTTGGATTACCTATATGTTTTCGTTATGATCCCCAAATAACAAAACTAAGGTAACTGAAACATATGCTGCACTTGACTGCAAGGTGAAAGGGTCCTTGTGCTTTTGAAAGTTGCTTTGGGCGCCAACAACCGCAACCGTGGACCCCACGACAGGTTGACCGTTGTTCAGGCAACCAAAAGACCCAGAAATTACACGGTCTTGCGTGTCTGGACTCTTCAAGCTACCAGGTAAGTCTTAGGCATGAGATTTACCTGTAGCGGTACACTTGTCACATGGAACCACTGTAGATTCGAACTTGCCGGAGGGAAGGGAAACAGAAAGAGAGAGAGAGAGAGAGAGAGACAGGAGACAGACAGAGAGAGAGAGAGAGAGAGAGGAGAGAGACAGAGAGAGAGAGAGACTACCCCCAACGCCATGGTCCATCCTCTTCTTACGATATACAATATTGAACTTATTAAATTCGCGAAAGAGAGCGAGCTCATCAGGAATATGGAGTCCTGCGATCCAAGCTGCCCGTTTTCCCCCTTCGACAAGCAGCGCTTCTCACTGGTGGCCCGGCACCGTCGTGGACTCCAGCTCGTGGCTGCGCAATGCCGATACATATTTTCTCCGGTGTTGTTCCTGTTGCTGGTGGCCCAAGTTTCTGTTCAGGGGAGTCTATGTGGTAGCTGCACGAAGTGGAGTGCTGGATCTCTTTTAACTGAAGATGATCTGGCCGTTAGCAGTGACCTTCACAATGTCTATGACGTCCCATGACAGTCCTTTGATGGTGGTGAGTGAGAAGGTGATGGTTGTAATGCTGATTTAAAATGTTCAGAGAAGAACCTATTCAAACTGGTGGTGATGAAAACGAACCGAGGCTCCCAGTCCAAGTAATAGGCGTCGTCGTCCTCCTCCTCCTCCTCCTCCTCCTCCTTACAACTTTGGCGTCGTGGTCCTATTTGTGGTCGTTCTCCCTCGCAAGATCTCCTCGAGCGGGCAGGGCTCGGACCGAAATGCCAACCACGGGGTCTTATGATAATACATGTGCCTTGAGCTTGTGATTGGATGAAGTTTGCCGGTGAGAAGACCTCGGCAGGAAGCATTCATAATTGCCACAATCGCACCTGTCGTGCCCTTGCAAGAAAAAATCGACATCGGCAACGGGGGGTCAGCATGATGACGACAACTGCTACTGTGGGGAGAAGAAGAGATGAGTAGTCGTCGCGGTAGCCTTAGCAGTGGCAATAGGAGTAGGAGCGGAGTGGGAGTGGGGGTAGGAGTAGGAGTAGGCGTCGGAGTAGGAGCAGTAGTAGTAGTAGTAGTAGTAGTAGTAGCAGTAGCAGTAGGAGTAGGAGTAGGAGCCGGAGCAGGATTAGGAGTAGGAGTAGGAGTCGGAGTCGGAGTGGGAGTAGGTGTAGGAGTAGGGGTAGGAGCAGTAGTAGCAGTAGTAGTAGTCGTCGTGGTGGTGGTAGCAGTAGTAGTAGTAGTAGTAGTAGTAGTAGTAGTAGTAGCAGCATTAGTAGTAGTAGTAGTAGTAGTAGTAGTAGTAGTAGTAGTAGTAGTAGTAGTAGTAGTAGTCGTAGTAGTCGTAGTAGTAGTCGTCGTCGTAGTAGTCGTAGTCGTAGTCGTAGTCGTAGTCGTAGTCGTAGTCGTAGTCGTAGTCGTAGTCGTAGCCGTAGCCGTAGCCGTAGCCGTAGCCGTAGCCGTAGCCGTAGTCGTAGTAGTAGTAGTAGTAGTAGTAGTAGTAGTAGTAGCAGTAGTAGTAGTAACTCAGTCAACAATATCCGGCATCACCATCATGTAGTAGCAATATGAAGAGGAACAGCAATGGCAACAGGAACGATAATCAGACTATACTGGAAAGGCCAACCGTGCGACCTTCAGAATAGCCCAAAACAACTTGGATTCAGACCCCACTCGGCAGCAGCTGAATAGTATGCGCGATATAGATACACCTGGCCCAGAATTATAGACCGCTACTGTATGGGGGGGGGCACTCCGGGATATCCCTACCGTATTGGGCTTCATTATGAGGGGGTTTATATGGGGATATCCCTATCCCTCTTTTCGCTTATGTGCTTTTTTTGGGGCCCTAAAGAAGAGACCACGTTTCCTGAGGAAGGTGGCGATGCCTTCGCCTACCTTTCGAAGTGGAGCCTCGGTCCGGCGGTTTCATTTGGGGTTGTGGGTTCAAGGTTTAGGGGGTTTGGGATTTAGGGTTTAGAGTTCAGGTTTTTAACGTTTAGAGTCAGAGATTTAGGGGTTTAGGGGCTGAGGGCTTTAGGCTTTAGAGTTTAGGGTTGCGGGTTCTTTTTACTTTAACAATGCAGACTGCCAAACAGCACTCCAGGGCGGATCATGGCATTTCAGAACCTTCAGTTATAAGGTATGCGATGTGTATTTAGACTATATATAAACATTTGATCGAGTCTATATAAGAAAGCTGTATCTGTAGTATCACTATGAACTAGTCTGTTTATTGGGGATTTTGGTGAGTTCCTACAGCACTGGTTAGGAATTGTGCCCCTTTTGAGGGGTTTAGGGTTGGCTGGATGCTGGAGTTAAGTGCTGAGTTGCAACATGCGTGTTTTTGTGTTATGCTTGGCCCTTGTTTGGTGTGGTGGATAAGTTTAATGGCGTTTGACTCTTCTTGCAAACGTTATAAACTGAGCTCGTTCAGCCCATGTGTCAGGTTAGATTTCTGATCCTTGCACATCTTTTGGGCAGCGCTATGTTTGTTGCCCGATCCTTTAGACCCGGCAAGTTGAACTCGAAGGAGTTCGCGATTGTAATGTCGCTAGTAGCTACTTATAGGTATGGGGTTGTGACTTCACTAATGGCAGCCCCCTATGAATAGTCCTGTGATACCTGCAACATGGTATGATCGAAGAGTTGTTGCAATCTTCGTGTGTGTTACTCGAAGAAAGGTCTCAAGAAGTAGATTCTTTACGAGGCAGCGGCGTTTCAACCAAATACGATGCCATATGCTTCTAAACCCGTGAGCCCGACAACTGCAAGCGTTGCATGCCAAACAGATGCGAGGACACCACAGAGGGATGTCCGAAGCTTGTTTTCACTTGTGGCTGTTCAACTCAGCTATGTAATTAGACAGTCATACCCGTGTCTACCCAATATTGTTGAATGTTGCAACCGCCCGGTTTCAAAGGAAGAAGGACGGAAAACGGTTTGACGTCGATCCTTGGCTGCGTATGTTTATTTATACATATATACATATATATATATATATACATATATATATATATAGAGAGAGAGAGAGAGAGAGAGTTTGAGAGGTCACGATTTCCTCCAGACATTCGGCGTGACCTTTTTGTGGCTGTGGGCTTTGGGATGTGGAGTGTTGGCGATTCACGATCGCGCAAATTAATTCCGAGAAGTTGCTGCAAGGCAGGGCGACTAGCGATTCGAGGGCATCCGGGCTTATGCTGCTTGAGATCATTGGATGCAAGTTTCGGAGGATCTTAGGGTGGGCTCATGGTTGCCATCAACTGTATGGCCGCAACGGCGGTGGAGGGTATGTCTGAGCAAGGTTATAGGTCCAGAACTGTATATTTCATATCGCATCATTGATCACGGAATGCATGACGATAATTTTCCGGTGCCAATAGTTCGAAGGTTGAGTTACTCCTCGGTGGTAGCTGCGGGAACCGATTTGGCAGGCTTGAATAAAGGGTTGTGAACGGTTCCAACTTCTGCGTCTGGAGACGGAGACAGAGCCCAGCAGCCTGACTTTCCTGTTACTTGGAGGTGCCTTGACTTACTGTTTCATCAAAGCAGCATGCAAGATCGTTACACAAAAGCACTAGATCCTTATCCCCAAGAAATGTAAGGCAGAGATCACACGAACAAGCTGTTCTTTTCTGTTGTGACGGTGCGAAGATGAGGGGAGAAATTGATAAGTCCTTTTCTTTTCGGAGAATCAGGTGCTCAGTGCGGAACCCAGCACCTGAAAGCGGACTACAAGTGAGAGTTTAGCTGCAGCAACAGTACCTGGACTGCAGGCTAGGGTGTACTTTGCGCTACCAACACCTGCTTTTCCTATATATTGCGCATTACTTGTGGCTTATCACAAGAATCTACAGCAAAGCAGGTTATGGTAGTTTAAGTGTCTCATGTCTTGCACTGTGCTCATGTCATATCCTTTGAGCGCAGGTGTATTCTGGGTGCTCGATGGATCCGCGAACCGAGCAGCTGCGACTCTTGTGCCATGACCAGAGCAAAGTTGACGTTTTGCCCTAAGCCTTAAAATCTAAGCTCCAAGGCGCGGCAGGCAACACCGAACAAGAAGAAGACTTGCAACCAAAGGCACGAGTAAACGCTCAGTTTCTTCGAACACCCAAAGTGCCCTTGACCAGAGGAACCCAAAGCAAACCCTGAAGACTGTCGAAACGGCCGTGAAGAGCCCAGGACCCCCGAGGCCTAGGCATAGCCAGCAAACACTGGGATCAAAATCGAGCTGTTCGACTGGAAGGGTTAAGGAGTTGCGCGTTTCGTGTTTGTTTTTGCAGTTCCTGGCTTCGCTGTGGGCCCGTGGCTCTTGGGAGTATATCTTCCTGTCTCGGCCACATGGAAGAGCGTTAAGGTGTGGGAGCAGCAATGACGTGCTGACCCGTCGCTCTAGTTTTGGCTCTAGGGCTTGGAGTTCATAAGTCTTGAGAGCTACACTGTCCTCTGCAAACCGCAGCAGCAGCAGGACAAGCTAAATGTCGTTGGGTTGTATTCGCCGACCATCCCTCCAACTTGATTATTATTGGAGCAAATCAAAGCCTTTCCCAAATCAACAACCGCGAAACTCAGCCGCGGACGCCAAGCCTTCCCACCAACTGCCGCCAACCACTAAACTGTATGGTCATGCGCGGACGCATTACAGCTTCTTGTTCAATGTCGCATAGCAATGCAGAGTAGCAGTATGTTGCACCTCAACCCAAACCCCGAACCCCTAAACCTTACTGTAAACCCCCAAGCTCCTAAAGCCTTAACCGTAGCCCTTAAACCCCTAGACCCTAACCCCTGAACCCCGAACCCCCAATCCCGAAACCCCTAAACCTTTAAACCCTGACCCTCAATGGTAGGATCCTTGTTATAAGGACTCCAAAATAAGGTACCCCCAATGTTCGGAAACTGCCATATACTCCGAAGCGCAAGTCCGCGTACACTGGCCCATGAGCTGACACCCTTCCACAAAGTCTTATAGTAGAAGCCAGAAAGTTGGAACATCATTATCCTCATGCCCTTAAGGTGAAGTATAAGGGATCCTAGCACTAATCCTCCCAAAGCCATGATCCAACTTTCTGGAGCCCAATACTCAATTAAGGAATATAGCTTAAATCATAATATGAGGCCCCTTCTGATTTAAGGTCTATATTCCTTAATGAGGGAGTATTGGGCTCTCTGGGTAGTGGCGCTTGTAGGCATGTACCGCAACCCTGACTGTAAGCCTTTTAGCAGCTCGTCTAACCTCAACTCCCTTCATCACCTTAATTCCTTTAAACTTTACCACTCTTCGCCCTAAACCCTACTCATCTACACTCTACAAGTCCTAAACCCTAAACTCAGAAAATGACTCTGAATGACTCAGCCACCCCGAGTCTCGGCGCGATGAAGTCCGGGGGTGCAGCAGTTTTCAACCTCGGCAACCCGGGGCGCCAAGGCAAAGCTACATGAACAAACATCTGAGATTTGTTGTTTGTGATTAGGGTTCCTTTCATGGCCTGTGTAAAGAGAGCTATATTGGCTCCTATAAGGGCTTCTGTGAAAGGTATAGGATTTGAGGCAAAAGCTCTATACGAGTGTTCTGTAAGGGTTCTTGGTTGAGGTGGCTTCAGGGTGTTCACCGCTAAGGGGTTTATAGGGCTTCAGTTTATCGGACAGAGGTCGAGATTCAGAAACACTTACGGGTCGTAGCATGTCATTTAGAGGTACTCTAGGGGTATCATTGCAGGGTCCTACTTCAGAGTTTGGGACTTGGTTCAGAAAGGGGTTTCGGGGTTTTGGGCTTGCTTCAGCAAGAGTTTCGGACTTTTGGGTGATGGTTCTGCTGTTAAGGCGGTTGACGGTTCAGGGGCTAAGGGGTTCAGGAATCTGTCATTGGTGCTGTGGTGGGTTTAAGGGTTCTGTTATAACAGGTGTTGCAATAAACCCTAGCTGTATCCTAATGAAGATGCCCTTTCAGTTCTGATATGAGAGTAAATAAAACCTACCCCAAAACATTGAAACCCGAGTCATTAAAACCCGAGTCTAGTTATACTCAGCTACCATCAAGGTCCTGCATCATTGTCTGGCAGGCTTAATGGCCGAGCGTTAGGTTTGGTGTTTATGCTCATCACTGCAGGGCGCTTGATGAGCGATACATCATATTATAGTATGATATCGTATATGTATGTGATGTATAGTATATAGTATACAGTTTATTGTGTAGCATATAGTAAGCAGTATAGAGCATATAGCATTATCTAGTGTGTATATATATATATAGTTATAGTACATACCTTATAGTATACAGCATATAGTACATAGTATAGTATGTATATTCACAATTTATGATGTGTTATTGTTTCGTTTGGCGTATTTTGTTCGTTTATCATAGTGTGTTAACCCATAGTAGTTCATTTATTTCGCTCAGACTTCCTATTCACTTGATGCCCACCATTCACGTATCTCAAGGCGAATGTTGCAGCTAAGCGGTTCCAGTTGGGGTGGCCTCCGCAAGCCCCCAAACAGAATCCGTAAAGTCCCCAAACCCGAAGAGGCATGTACTTCGTTGCAGATGGCGGCAAAGTTTGCCAACTGCTGATGAGAGTGTGCCGTGGTCTGATAAGGGGGTAGGAGCCCCTCATCCCCCCAGAGTTTAGGCTTTAAGGGTTTACTGTCACGCTCAGAAGAGTTCCCAGGACATCGTCACTGCTTTCGAAGCCCTGCAATTTTCGAGACCGTTGCGCTGGAATAAGAGTGATGTTCTACTGTGACGACCATTGCTCGCGACTATGCTTTCGTTATCATCGTAATCACAACAGTTTTGGTAAATCTGCTCATAGAATATGAGTCTTAGTCGCCTGTCACCACGACTGTCATTTGCTTTATGATTGTCGCAGAGTTGTTGCAGTCGTTATTCGGAGCTTTTTTTGCAGCTTTCGTCGTTTGCTAGGCAGTTGGCACCTTTGGTGCAATTGTTGGCACTGGATGCCCTTAGTAGTGTGGTTGCTGCGCAGATAACTGATTACAGTATGGCTACGTTAGTGATGGTTACTTGCGATGAGTGCGAGTTATGAGTAGAGGTTATCTTCAACTCGAGCAGTATGAGGCGCACCCGGCATGCCCGAAACTCTGAACCTTAAACCAACCATTAATTGATTGTAGTTGGTTTTGCTTGATGATACGGGGTTTATTCGAGCTGTAACTGGGGGAGTAAATGCACTTGCAGGAGCATGATCCCCCAAAAGATGTCGAACACAAAGAACCCACCACATACAAAATGAATAGAAGCTCGTTTCGGACCATAGCACCATAGCCCAACATCCCTAAGCTGCCAAAAATAGCTGCCGTAACTAGCCTCGACGGTTTGGGGGCCCATTTTTATACTATAGTTCTAATGAGGAACCCCCAAGAATAGTATAGGGGGGGGGGGGGGTCGGCCGGCAGGAACTTTATGATGGCCGAGAGTGCCGTCACCCCTCCGACGCTCTCGCAGGAAGTTCCCTTGGATCCCGAGAGGCCGCCCGTGCCTGCAATCTCTCTTGCTGTTTTAAGGTTTAGGGTTCGTAGGATTGTAGGATTTAGGGTTTCATGGCTGTGAAGCTGAAGTGGCTTTCAAGAGTGCTTTTTTGGGTATAGCAAGGGATAGGTGCCTCTCAGGTTGTTGTGTGTTTCAAGGGTTGAACTGCACTTCATTTTGGCAGGGGAGCAGCCGGACTTCCTCAGTAATGCGGGTTAAACGTATAAGCCATATAAGCGATGATAATTATCAGTGTACACTCTTAAAGCGGCAGGTCTCAACAACTTCAACGGTCATCGGGTGATGTACTCAAGCCATAAGCTAAGCCATTGCCCTGGGGTTCCGAAGCCTCGTGCTACAGCATAGTAGACTGAGCCTTCCCGCCATGCACAGCCCTACAGCATCAGAACGCCCGAAGCCCGACCACTGCTAACCAAAATCGTCGTCGTCATATCGGTTGCGGTGGCTGCAGCGGGATCCGGAGCAGGAGCGGTGGCGGTAGCGGCAGTCGAAGGCAGTGGCAGCAGTCTCGTTTTCAGTCGCAGCAACAGCAGAGTAGTGTGTGGTAGTGGACCCCCATCCATCTGTTCAGCAGCACGTCCTCACACATTGTCACGATGCATTCGGACTATCCAACTGCTGTTGCTTCATGCACGAGTTTGCCAACTCCAGCAAGGTCTGGGAGCGGGCTCGGAGGTTGGGGAATAGTAGCAGCGGCAGCAGCAGCAGCAGTAGTAGTAACAGCACTGGCTGTCGTAGCAGCAGTAGTAGTAGTAGTCGTCGTCGTAGTAGCAGCAGTAGTGGTAGTAGTACTAGTGCTAATTGTACCCGTAGGAGCAGCAGTGGTAGTAGTAGTAGTAGTAGTAGTAGTAGAAGTAGTAGTAGTAGTAGTAGTAGTAGTAGTAGTAGTAGTAGTAGTAGTAGTAGTAGTAGTAGTAGTAGTAGTAGTAGTAGTAGTAGTAGTAGCTAGCGGTAGTAGTGGTAGTGGTGGTAATGGTAGTAGTAGTAGTAGTAGCAGTAGTAGTAGTAGTAGTAGTAGAAGCAGAAGTAGAAGCAGAAGTAGAAGTAGACGTAGAAGTAGAAGTAGAAGTTGAAGTTGAAGTTGAAGTAGAAGTAGAAGTAGAAGTAGAAGTAGAAGTCAGTAGTAGTAGGAGTAGTAGTAGCAGTAGCAGTAGCAGCAGTAGTAGAGGAGGAGGAGGAGGAGCAGTAGCAGTAGCAGCAGCAGTTGCAGTTGCAGCTGCAGCTACAGGAGAAGTAGTAGCCGTCGTCGCCATTGCAGCGGGTGGTAGTACAGCAACACTGAAACCCAAATATCCTAGCTAGATCCTGAGCCCGAATGCCCCAAACCCTGAGCCCGCCCTGAACTTCAGACTCATGATTCATCCCGAACCGTGAAGCCCTAAATACCGAACACTAGCCGAGGCTGGGTGCTTGGATTCGAGAGAATCTTGGTTCTTGTCGGAGAGAGCTCTGTATTTTGATTGATTTCTT